CCCACTGCCAAGAATTGATGATACTCTTGATGCCCTAAGTGGAGCCAGGTGGTTTTCAACTCTGAACTTAAAGTCAGGTTTCCATCAAGTAAAAATGGCTGAAGCAGATAGACCCAAGACAGCATTTAGTTATGCCCAAGGTCTCTGGCAATACCGAGTGATGCCATTCGGACTCAGTAATGCTCCAGCAACATTTGAAAGGCTGATGGAACGAGTATTGGAAGGCCTACAATGGAGGATAGCCCTAGTGTACCTGGACGATGTCATCGTATTTGCAACAACGTTTGACTAGGAAATGTTCCGGCTGGAGGAAGTATTCAAGCGTTTGAAAGCAGCAAACCTCAAACTCCATCCCAAGAAATGTCATTTGTTCCAGAAAGAGGTGCTTTACTTAGGCCACATTGTTAGTGAGAATGGTGAAAACAGTGCATGACTGGCCAACGCCAGACAATGTGGGAGAGCTAAGAAGTTTCTTGGGACTCTGTACTTACTACCGCAAATTTGTGAAGGACTTTGCAATGATAGCTGCTCCACTACATGATTTGACTAAAAAAGGCCAAAAGTTTGAATGGACAGTTTCTTGCCAGCATTATTTCAAGATGTTGAAGGAAAAATTGGCCTCTGCTCCACTTTTAAAGCTTCCAGATCCCTCACTGCCGTACATATTGGATTGTGATGCTAGAATTGTCGGAATTAGAGGAGTGTTGTCTCAGAAAGTGGGCGAAAACGAACATGTGGTGGCCTACTTCAGTAGGGTGTTGAGTAGACCAGAGAGGAACTACTGTGTAACACGGAGGGAACTCCTTGCTATAGTAAAGAGTCTGACATATTTCTATCCTTACCTCTATGGTGCAAGGTTTACCATCAGGACAGACCATGTTGCGTTACGCTGGTTAAGATTATTAAAGAACCCAGAGGGACAACTAGCACGTTGGATCGGAAAAATAGACCAATATAATTATAATATTGAATATAGAGAAGGAAAATCCCATGGTAATGCCGATGGACTGAGCCGAAAACCCTGCAAGAATGACTACAGACATTGCTGCAAAAGAGAGGTTGAACTATCCAGGTGTCATCAAGCTGAAGTCAAGCCGACTGAAAGAGTTGATGATGGTGAAGTGGAACCAAATATAGTCATCAAAGCAGAACAGGAGAAAGACCAAGATTTGAAGCCAGTGATTGATTTTCTAAAAGCAAGTGTTTTGCGCCCTGCTTCTTGGGAGAAGGTGTCTAGTCTAAGCCCTTTGACAAAGAACTATTGTGCACAATGGGACCAGTTGAGGCTTGAAGATGGTATTCTTCTTCTTCGGAGATGGGAAACTGCAG